GTATTCATAAAACTGTTGAAATTTCATTCAAATTGATCTGCTAAAACCAGTGGTCACTTAGCTTGTTTCTTTTTTTTTTTTTTTCCAACGGATTTTATAAGTACTTCATAAAATAGGCCGCTCTGTTTTCAGATATCAAATTGCTAATAAAACGAGACGTTAACCTAAAATCTCGAGGTATGTATTTAAATAGCCTACTCAGATCGAGACTATCATATGGATGTTATACATGACTCCAGATCCATTCAGAAATATCTAAACTGTCAGCTGTTTGCAACGGCTTTCTCAGATCAACGGTTAACATGTATTTGAACGAGTAAAACCTGGTGGCTCTAGATGAAGATCAGCCTTCTTCAAAAATTTTGGTCTGGCGCTGCTGAATTGTAAACAAAGAACTGTACCAAATAAAAGAATAGACATCTGATAGCACTTAAAAAATGACATCATGTTAACATTCTACACCACTCCAAACAAAAGGTTAGGAAGGAAACTCCCATCAATAATGGAAAGAGCAATAACAGTTACTGGACTTGAGAAAATTTTTTTGCCTGAGAAATTGTCTTAGAAAGGAGATTTTATTAATATCACCCGATTGTTTCCTTAAAAATAAGCGGTTAATATTACCATTAGTTTTACCATTACAATTCGTTAAATTTGCTTTTTAAGCCCCGCGCTAAATATCTATTAAAATTTTTCCAAATCGTCATATTTCCGTGTAAATGTACAGGCTGAACTCGAAATAACAATTAAATTTTGATAAAACCTACCGTTTTAGAGTTTTCGACAATAAAAGTTCGGACTCAGTCGTGTTCAGCCGTCATTTTGTAGATAATCATGCTCTTTACAAAGTTCGCGTGGTTAAGAGCAGTAAAAAGACCGTTAATTAAGCATCCGCGCGCAAAATGTTCCGCTCTGAATCTAGTTAAACAAGGTCAGTAATGGCCGACGGCTGAACGCAAGTGATGATCATAGGTATGTGTGTGTGTGTGTGTGTGTGTGTGTGTGTGTGTGTGTGTGTGTGTGTGTGCACGCGCGTGTATTTAAACGTTATTTTAAAGTTGAATGAAAATACGACGAATTGATAAATATATGAAAAAATTTCGAAAACACTTTTACACATAATAACATTAAAAGTGCGTTAATCTCACAACGATAGTAAACCCAGACCAGGACTTTAAATGGTATTGCCGATCATAGCAAAGTAATAGTAGCATAATGCGCTATACGAGATAACAGTGGGGTGGGAACAGAAATCTACTCAGAGTGGGCTAGTTTTACCCTTTATCATTCAACCCACCCTGTTAATATCGGCTCCCAGTATTCAACCAACGGTAACCAGCCCTCTGCATACTCTGCCCTAATATATGACGATATCGTCGCAATCTGTTTTAGAACATTTGACAATTTGTTTTACTCTTTTCTTTAACTCGGCATTGGTCTTTGTCGACTCACGTTTCCAGTTTTTCTGTTCTCATTTATTTCTATTTTGCATTTCTGGTTCAAAGAGTTCCTTAAAAGAAGGTACCTGAAGAGTTTTCGAACTGACCAAAATACTTTTCTGGACGCACAAAGAAATATTCATTCAAATCTTAAAAAAAAAAAAAAATTTCCTTGCGCAGTTTAGATGTTATTTCTATTGCTTCTTGAGAATTCTTTGACTCATTATTTTATAATAAGATAAAATCAAGTTTAAATTTACATTTGAGCTTTAGTTTCCGATATTAAACCCTATGACCAGGCTCATACATAATCACCGATTATAGCAAAAGCAATAGCAATATAATGATGTATACTAGATAATACAGAAAAAAAGAGCTACACTGAGATCGCTTATTTATAATCCAACAGCCACCAACTGTCATGTAAAAAAAAAATAGAGGAATAAGTAAATAATTTCTTCTCTCGGGTCATCAGATCTGTTTAGGTCAAAAGACAAATGCTAACACACGTTGGCGAAACGCGTCGTCATTTTAAAAAATACGTTTTACCAATTGGTCATAATATATACGCTCCACATACCCTTATATATATATATAAAAAGTAAATTCCAACGTACTACGTACGAATGTATGCAAACGCCATGTTTTTCTTTTGTAACAAAAAGAGATAATTGTTCATGCACGGGGTTTTCGGCTAATCCATTATCCATTTCTTAGGCATTCGGTACTATGTATGTAATTATGATATATATATATATATATATATATATATATATATATATATATAAAGAGAGAGAGAGACTGAGACCGAGATAGATAGATGTATATATATATATATATATATTATATATAATGTATAATGTTTGCAATTTATTTAATCAGACACATACGCGCATATATATGTATATGCATATATATACTTATATATATATATATATATATATATATAGTTATATAGTTATATATATATGTGTGTGTGTGTGTGTGTGTGTGTGTGTGTGTGTGTGTGTGTGTGTGTGTGTGTAATTAGTTTTTAACGAAACTTGTATAAAAGAGAGATTGTTGCCCAAATATACATGGCTCGGAAGTCAACAAGAAAAGTCACGCAGTACCTTGTCATTCATTTTTAACATAAAAGATATATATATATATATATATGTGTGTGTATGTGTGTGTGTGTGTATGTGTGTGTGTGTGTGTGTGTGTGTGTGTGTGTGTGTGTGTGTGTATCTGTGTGTGTCTGTGAGTGTGTGTGTGTGTGTGTGTGTGTATTGATTGACAGAGATACGGTGTTAGGTAGACCTATTGTTAAATAGATTTACAGTTTGACACCCAATGATTTAACTACAGATATATATGCACGCTTTTAAAACGCAACGTAAACGCGTATTGTCATGTAAATTCCTCTCAAAATAAATTTATCGATATATATGTTCACATGCGCGCATCTGTCTCCATATTCGCCTCCATGCCAACTGGAAAAGGTGCGCTTCGCACACCCTCCCTGGATTATGTACAGAGGCGTAGATGGGAGCAGATACACTGAGAGTCAATGTTCTTTCCTTTTTTTTTTTTACTTTTTCGTTTTTATATTCTAAGAATTTTGCTACAATGACGTTTAAGGACGCGAAACTGCACATCCTTTTTTTTTTTTTTTAATGCTTATTCAATGTGTTTGTGTAGGCGCAGGTGTTTTTTTTTTCTTTGCCAAGTGCGTATGCATATATGTGAGGATGTAATTGTTTATCTGTGCGCTTGCGTAGGGAAAAGATTTGCAAGGAAGCGCGTGCCTAGCGTGCACGAGACCTTTTCATTTCCCTGACAGGCAAAGCCTCATTCATACATATCAGGATAATATTCATATTCTTCTATGCACTGTGACCATTTAGAGCGTATAGGATCATGGTTCTCCACAACATTCATTCCCTCATGGCACTTAGCAGCGTTTCTCTCTTTGACAAGTCCTCGGATCCCTTTTTCTGTCAGCCATTAACATATGCTCGATATTTAGGTGACCAGCTTCCTTTCCCTATATATCTCTTGCCCTCGATAATGTCCTACGAGAAATTTTCAAATCCCTTCTTTCTCATTATGTTTCCAAGAACGATTAGCCGTCGCTGTTGATTGTGCGGATAGGTTTTCATTTTGTTGCCATTTGCTTTAAGACTTTGTCGTAGCTCAATCCATAGAATTCTCAGTATCCTTCTGTAGAACTACATTTCTCTTACTTCCAGTTTCCTTTTCGTCTGCGTTGAGGACTTTTTTTTTAAGCGTTTCACCACAAGCAAGGCGGGAAGCCACTAGGACGCAAGGGGTTACAGAAAATTTGGAGCAAGATCAGATAGGAGTGATAGAGGAAAAGATGAGGAGAAGGATAGTGGATAGATCAAGGTAACTGGAGATGTCGATTGACATTACATTTGAATAGCTGGAGATTATAGCTATTAGGGAATTTGGAATAGGGTAGAGGGTTCCACTGGCGAGAGGTGCGAGACATAAAGCTATTGGAGTAGAAGAGACGGCTACATTTAGGAGTTTCAACCGTGAAAGGGTGAGAGCGGGGTGCCAGCCTCGTCGCGCGCTTGAACTCATGAAGTCTGGTAACCAGCGAATGCAGCTCATCGGAGCAATTTCCATGAAAGTATTTGTAGAACAGACAGAGGGAGGCGATGGCGCGTCTGTGAGAAAGTGACTGTAGACGAGATGCCAGAACAGGGCCAATTATATTGCATATCCGCCTCTGGAGCCTATCAAGAACCCCGAGGCAAACAGAAGGGGCTCCAGACCATATATGGCAGCAATACTCCATGCAAGGGTGAATGGTTGATTTGTAGATCTGGAGGATCGATTCCGGGGAGAAAAATTTCCTGGCGCGGCACAGGGAGCCAACTTTCCTTGCGGTAGACGAAGCAATTGACTCAATGTATTTGTTCCATCTCAGGTCAGCAGTCAACGTGAGACCGAGCTGCCGCAGAGAGTTGCTCTCGAGAAGTTGAGCGTCAGACATTCTAATGGGGGGGGGGAGGATTTCTGTGGTGATTAATAGAGAGCAGTTTTGTTTTTGAGGCATTAAAGTTGACCAGCCAATTCCTGCCCCAGTTCCCAACCGATTAGAGGTCCTTTTCGAGACGCACGGTCAGGTGAGTTTTGTCAGCGAGTCTAGATTTGTTTTTGAGGCAGGAGTAAATTATGGTGTCATCCACGTAGATGCCAACTTGGGAATTTATGGCGCCAGGAAGGTCATTTATGTAGATAAGGACTAGAGTGGGACCTAGGATGGAGCCTTGAGGATCACCTGCGTTCGTGGGATAGGAACTGGAGGAGAATCCGTTGAGAACGACCTTCAATTCACATTCGCTGCGATTTTCAAGGATTGATATCAGATAACAATTCAGCAGATTTTTATTTCTTTCTAACGGAACTTCCCTGTTTCTTTGAAATTGGTTTAGCCTTGGGAATGCATTTTTTTCTATAATCCGATGCGAATTTGGATTATCGGATCGGATCAAAGTTAATAAGGATACATAAAAGTACATACTTAAAGAGATTCTACGTAACCTAATGAAATTATTGAGAATACAATCTATCTATCTATCTATCTATCTATCTATCTATCTATCTGAGTCCTTTCATTTCTATCTATCGGAGTCTTTTCATTTCAAACTATCTGAATTTTCTCGCTTCTATCTATCTATCTATCTGAGTCTTTTTATTTCTATCTATCTATCTGAGACTTTTTATTTATATCTGAGTCTTTTCATATCTATCTATCTATCTATCTATCTATCTATCTATCTATCTGAGTTTTTCATATCTATCTATCTATCTGAGTTTTCTCAATTCTATCTATCTGAGTCTTTTCATTTCTATCTATCTATCTATCTATGAGAAGTCTTTTCATTTCTATCTATCTATCTATCTATCCATCTATCTATCTACACTCACATATGTATATGGACATGAGAGATTGTTTGCTGAAAAGTTCTTTGAACAAAAATTATGTTTCAATTTATGATTCAAGCTTAGAAATTTTAACCCCACCTGCTAAAATCACTTGAGAATAAACGTTCGTTGGTTTCTAACCAGTATAGATGCAAAGATGCCGCTCAAATACGGACAGTCATGGGATTCTGAGAGGAGCGAGTAGTCGAAGAGAGCCATGTACATCATTATCTTGAAAAATCATGACAGAGAAAAACATGGAAACACAACTGGTATTTGGGCATATTACTTTGAAACCGTATGTATAAAATCCTTGCTGATACCCACTGACGTCTACGAAACTCTGGAGTCGGGGTACTGAAGGTAACATCAATCAGTTAAGTGACAAACTTTTTACTTATATTAATTCTTTCTCTGTCTCTCTCTTTCCCTACCCCTCTGTCTGTCTGTCTGTCTGTCTGTCTCTCTCTCTCTTTATATATATATATATATATATATATATATATATATATAATGAATAAAAACAAATGTAAAATTTTGTTTTACGAATACGTTTACTTCACTGAGAGACATTTTCAAGGTAAATACACAGGTTTTATTATGCAAATTGTATATATATATATATATATATATATATATATATATATATATATATAATCATTTCACCTCAAGGCAGCAATGCCTCTACGACGCAAGATGAATTTAAGAGAATATGAGGAAAAGAATATATCTGTTGATATATATCAATCAGTTCATATCTATCTATCTATCTATATCTATATATATATATATATATATATATATATATATATTTATATATTTATATATATATATATATATATATATATATATATATATATTTATATATTTATATATATATATATATATATATATATATATATATATATATTTTATATAAAATTTCTCCTTGTATTATTCATATTTATATTTATCTATAATTATCTCTTTGTCAACAGAGATTTATACATATACAAGTCACTATACACACCACGCCCCTCACACACACACGTTTTACACTTAAATTACCTTTTCACTTGTTATAAGCAATAGTACTTATTTTACATCTTTATATCTACACATGCACGCATTTTAGACATATAAGTAATTGTAATGTCCTCTTCAATTTTCAGTTAATACCATCGACCACAAGACAATTGTGATAGAAGCCCGTGTGTTACTTAGATGACTACTTCAGGAATACAACTTGTAGAACAATTATACGTTTTAGAAACACGAATTTTAACCAAAAGCAGTCAACTGAACGTATATGTTGCACAGCGGGTACTTAATGAAATTTCCGTTGTGTACTAACAGATGAAGGCAAGAGAGATAGAATCCAGAAGCCGTGTAAAAATAACAAAAGGTACCTTTCAGAAACTGAGCAAGGTATTAAGGGATAGACAACCATGCTTAACAAAAAATATAAAACAAAACTAAGAACCTATATTATATCTGATCGTCTAGATTGCAGTGAATTCTAGACAATTCCCTCATAGATATGTACGGATGCTAAGATTACCATGGACAGGACATGTGATTAATGAGGAAGATTTAAAGGAAGCCGAAACTGAAAATAAAAGGTTGCTAATACTCAGATGCAGATTTGTTTTAGGAAGGCATAATGAGAAAAGAAGGTTTGGAGAATTTAACTCTCACAGTGCATATTGAGGTCAAGAGAGAGAAAACATGTAAACACAGATTGACCTACTAAACGAATCCGACTAAATCGGTGGGGGAAAAGAGTAAAGAGAGGTAGTAACGGGGTATGAGTTTGGGAGAGATGAAGGTAGTCGTGGAGAGCCATTTACATCGACATCCTGAAAGAGCATTGCAGAGAAAAAGATGGTAATCCAGCTGTTATTAGGGCTTATTGCTTTGAAACCATATGTTTCAAATGTGTGTGTATAGTATCTAATATTTCTTTTATTTGCTCAAATTCTGAATTTATGAATTACATATATATATATATATATATATATATATATATATATATATATATATATATATATATATAAATTCACTTAAATTCAGAATTTGAGCAAATAAAGAAATAAAGAAAATATATATATATATATACATATATATATATATATATATATATATATATATATATATATATATATATATATATATATATATATATATATATATATATATATATATATATATATATATATATATATATATATATATATATATATATATATATATATATACATATATATATATATATTCATATACATATATTCAGATAGATAGATAGATAGATAGATAGATAGATAGATAGATAAATGTGCATTTTTTCATTACTAATATGACTTTCGTCATGTTGAGTATTCGATATTATGCTGGTACTTTTACCAGCTTTTACGTCTGTTCATATCTATCTTCTATCTATCTATCTATCTATCTATCTATCTATCTATCTGTGTGATTCGCACAGGTGTTCCCTATTTCTCTGTTTATCTGTGTAATTCGCATAGTTGTTACCTACCTAATTATTTACCTATTGATCTATCTATTTATCGCAGTCCATGCATATGTATGTAAGCATCTATCTATCTATCTATTAGTAAAAAATATTTACTAAGCATTACCCACGTTATATGTCGCTTTCATAGAAAAAAACGTAATACATACGCATAGATCACACATGCATAGAACTAAACACGCACACAGACACGTATATATATATATATATATATATATATATATATATATATATATATATATATATATATTCGTTTGTGTTTAGTTCTGTATATATCTGTAAACTGACACGATCGCACGCACAAACAGAGGAGGAAAATGTCGACGCAACTACTGCGACTGTGAATTTGGAACAGAGCCTAAGAATCTTGAAAAACGACGTCACGGACATCCGAAATTTAATTATTTATTTGGACAACACGTAGAGAAGCATATATGCATAATGACACGCAGAGAATAAGCAAAATCATTTTAGCGCTTACAACTATCAGTTGGTAATTATTGTTTTTTTTTTCAAAATCTTGAAGCACCCCACTCGCTTTTGAGAATCTAGTGACCCCCGGTCTAACTTCTATCGCCTCTTTGTAATAACCAATACACACACACACATATACATACATATATATATATATATGTGTGTGTGTGTGTGTGTGTGTGTGTGTGTGTGTGTGTGTGTATATACCAAAATGTAAACACTATTTGAGATCAGTGTTCTAAAAGTCAATATTTACATAATGAGTCTGCTCTCTCTTTTATATGTATCTATCTTGTTTGTAATCAATTCACCCCAGGCTAGGCGATGATGTCACAAAGAATCAATGGGCTTAAGGAATGAAACAGAATAAGAAGACTTAAAAGGGACGAGAAACTCAATCCTGGACAGGAAAACAAGTTAAAAATCTCTACATCTGTTCAGAAAACCGGGAGGGGATAGAACCGGACGATACGGGAACATGTCCATTATCATATCTATCTATCTATCTATCTATCTATCTATCTATCTCAGTTTTCTCTTCTATCTATCTATCTATCTATCTCATTCTGTTCGCAGATAAATCTATCTATCTATCTATCTCAGTTTTCTCTTCTTTCTATCGATTTATCTATCTATCTATCTACCTATCTATCGATCTATCTATCTGATTATATTCATATCTATCTGACCATGTTCATATCTATCAACCTGATTATGTTCATATCTATCTATCTATCTATCTATCTATCTATCTATCTATCTATCTCATCCTGTTCATATCTATCTATCTATCTCAGTCTGTTCATATCTAACTATATATCTATCTTAGTCTCTGTGTGTGTGTGTGTGCCATTATTAATCGAGCTCACCCCAAGCAATGTATTTAATCCACATAAGTGGAGGAATGTGTGTATGTGTGCGTGCGTGTGTCTTTGTGTCTATGTGCGTTTGTGTGTGTGTGTGTGTGTGTGTTTGACATTTTTCAGATAGAGCTCTTGACTGGCTTTAGTTATACGAACCAAAGTATTAATCATGATTTGAAATCATTGTTTGAAATGACAATATTTTTATCTATTAGTTTGTTCTGTCTTTCTTTCTCTTACCGTCTTTATCTCCTTCTCTTTTGACTTTTTTCACCTCTCTCTCTCTCTCTCTCTCTCTCTCTCTCTTTCTACGAACGAACATATTTATGTTCGAATCTATCTATCTTCGTATCTATCCTTATGTAAATATACTTATGTATGTGTTTTTCTATTTATTTAATTAATGTGTACACGCGCGCGCACACACAGACACACACACATATATATATATATATATATATATATATATATATATATATATATATATATATATATACACACACATATATGTATATAGGCACACACACATATTTATGTAGTCACGCACACACATAGATATAATATATAGGCATATATGCATATACACATAGCAACATACAAATATACACACACAGACAAAGGGAAAAAATATCAACCTAACACCAATAATAAGATTCTCTCAGCCAGGACAAGATATATCTATATTAAAATCAGTATATAAATGACGAAAATGAGAAAAAAAAAATAGCAGTATATTACTGAAAACCTCCTGAAGTTTGGACTGAACAATTACAAAAAAAAAATGTCAACGAGACACTGGAGTCGTATATAACATCAATCAGCCAAGTGACAAATTTTATTTGTATAAATCATTAGATAGATAGATAGATAGATAGATAGATAAATAGATAGATAGAATGTGGATAAGGTAATCAATTTTGTATCTTATTTGTGAGCGTCCGTATTTAAATGGTTTTCAGGCTGTGCAGTTACTCATTTTGTAGAGTAACACCTCTAACAGAAACAGGGACAGTATAAGAACAGTATCCAACTTCCATTACTTCCATTACTAAACCCGTGGCCTATGTCACGAGCCCACTGAAGGAACACTGACGCATGATCTGTATATAGATTCAGGCCTGAAACCAATAGTCAAAAGACTGTGTTAAGCCTTCAATATGGTTACGGCCAATTCACGCTGTAACACATTTTTTCGTACGATGGACAGAAATTACGCAAAACCAGCTTGGTCAGTAACTAGATGGGTGACCAATTACGAATATTAGTTTCTGTAAACTTGCTTGTATATGTGGTGCTAATGGAGGACGGCTCGGATTTGGAACTTGCAATTACCGATTCCAGTCGGGTTGGTTATATTGACTCACCTGCAAATACAGGCACGAATCAACCTCTTCTCCTTCTCCCCATCTATGGGTTAGTCAGTAGGACGTTTATCACTAAATCATTATTACCTCACCCCAAATTATTGCAATCTAAAACATTTTCAGGTTTTAAATAACCTGTAAAAGAGTGATAAGTCGGGATAAGCAAATCAATCGACCTATAAATCTATTGTTTACACTGTCTATCTCAGTCTGTTCATATCTATCTATCTATCTATCTATCTATCTATCTATCTATCTATCTATCTCATCCTGTTAATATCTATCTATCTATCTCAGTCTGTTCATATCTAACTATATATCTATCTTAGTCTGTTATCTTTCTATCTCAGTCTGTTCATATCTATCTATCTATCTATCTATCTATCTATCTATCTATCTATCTATCTATCTCATCCCGTTCATATCTATCTATCTATCTCAGTCTGTTCATATCTAACTATATATCTATCTTAGTCTGTTCATATCTATCTCAGTCTGTTCATATCTATCTATCTATCTATCTATCT